CCCTGCTTACCTCAAGGTAGGCTGGGGCTTGTCAGGGGTCAGGAACAGTACTTGATTGAGGGTGTTTACAAAAATACATCCCACATAGGACTTGGGGTGCACCGATAGAGATTTTTGGGGCCAATACTGATAGCTGAGATTTAAGGAGGCGTATCAGCTGATACCGATCTGATTTCCAATACAGCTGCTTGCAGCTGGTAAGTCCGGTGTGGTGGAAGGGAAAGGGGGAGAGGGGAAGGGAAGGGACGTGGGGGGAGAAGATCAGCACCCCTGCGGTGAGGGAGGAGGCAGGGGCAGGCACTGCCTAGGCGGGGCAGGTGTGGGGGGAGGCAGCTCCCACTGCTGCTTGCAGGAGGGGCATGTGCCCCTGGATCTGTGTGGGGTGGGGCAAGGCGGCTGCAGCTGGGCCTGGGCAAGACTCTTGTCGGTGGGGGCTGGTCTCGGAGTGGGCACCGGCAGCACTGGGAGGATGCTGCATCCATCCCAGATTTCACCGCCACTCTGCTCCCAGTGCCACCAGCCGCAGCCCCGGCTCAACACCCTGTCTCCACCCATGCCCTGGGGAGAGCCGGGGCTGCAGCTGACAGTGGTGGCGCTGGGAGCGGAGCGGTGGCAGGATTTGGGATGCATGCAGCATCGTCCCAGTGTCACTGGCGCCAGCTCCGAGCCGATCCCCGGCTGTGGCCCGGCCCGCCCCGCCCTGCCCTGCGCAGATCTGGGGGCATATGCCGCCCCTCCCACCCCTCGTGCCCTCCCAGGGTGCAAGCAGCAGCAGGAGCCGCCCCCCTCCTTGCCCGCCCCACCTGGACAGCAGTGTTCCCTCTAAGCTGTGTGGCGTGCGCAGCCACGCAGGCGCACCTGGCAGCGCAGCACAAGTGCACCTGCACGGCCGCGCAGCTTAGAGGGAACGCTACTGGGCAGCACCAGCGCCTGCCCCTGCCTCACTGCAGGGGCATTCATCTTGTAGGGTGTTCCCAGGAGAGAGCACAAAGAAACATCCCCCTGCACCTGAAGAAGGGTGTTTGTACCCAAAAAACCCGCAAAGAACAATTTTTCCAACTATTTAGTTGGTCTAATAAAAGATATGACATCTACCTAAAGAACCTTGTCTGCCAAGTTCTTTCCAGTGGTTTAATATTCAAATGGCGCATTGTTTTCCTCTGTGGCCTGACCTTGCACACAGATTAAAGTTGAAATCTTTACTACATTATTTTTCCATTTCTTATTTGAGAGTTTTATAAACTGCCAGTCTTCTTACAGAAGAATTAAAATCTCTCTAACGAGCACCAAAACTCCATTGGGATAAACTGGGCAGCACTCGGAGGCTAGGGATGGCATCTTTGTTGTCCTGGATGGGAGATCAAGGCCGTTGAATCAACGTACCGGATGCTCTTACACTTCTAAACCGTAAGACTAGAGAGGCTGGCGCTGTCTCAGCTATTCCTGACTGGAGTTAAGTCTGCTCAGACACGACACCCTGTTACCAGCTGAGACGCCTCGTTGCCACTGACGGTCTTGGCACCGGACCTGTGCCGAGTTCAGTAAGAGGATTAGCTGTCCTGCTGCTGGCCTCTGGGTTGGAGTCCCTGTCATCGGCCTCTACACCAGAAGCTCGGTCCTGAGCTCAGCACCTTAACAGAACGAGCCCCTCGATACTGGCAATCTCTGAACATACCACTGAGCAGCTTGTACCGCTTTTAGATTTAAGGTGCCTTCTCCTCTGTCAGTCTCAAGGAATCCCCAAAGAAATCAAAATTACTACAGAAAATCAAATCTTATTTAAGAAGTGTCATTTCTATTTAATTCCCAAATGCAGGAGGCCTCCCACCTCTCAGAGGATTGGCACGAGCACTGAGAGTCTGTGCACCTGTTACTAGGAGGAAACATTTTGGCCAGTTGTCAGATTTTCCTCCTAGCCAGAGCAGAGACCTGCTGACGACTCGGTAGTGATGAAGTCTTGCTTCTTGCAGAACAACACTTAGCCATTTCTTCTCTTTCTCGGCAGCCCATTCATCATTACTGTGCAAACAAAAGGTTTGGCATCTTGTTGAGAGCCAACAGACCCTCCTTTTCTCTCCCCCATCCTTCCAGGCTGGGAGATTGGACTTCCTCCAACCAGTAGATACCACAGGCTATGCCGTATAGTTCCCATCCTTGCCCCACACAGCCACCCCTCTTCCCCATGTCCTTTTAGGGACCCAACTCATAGGAAACAACTGAAAAAAGTGGTCCCATATCTCAGCTAGGCGTTGCAAATACTGCTGCCGGTGTTTGGAGGGGAGGATTTGCATTTTTGATACTTCTCCGTATGTTTCGTTATTTAGTTCGCTATGGTTAAGACTTCTTAGTTCCTGTTCCTGTTCGATCTGGGAACTGTCAGCTCAGCACGAGAAATAGGATCCACATGGGCAGAGATGCAGAGAGAGAGAAAAAAGACTGGTCTTTGCTTTTTTTTTTTTTTTTTTTTTCCCCCCCCCAGTAGCAGGCTTGCATATGAAGTCCCAGTCTGGTACTGCTGTCAGAGGTCTGTGCTGTGCTGAGGGTCTAAATCAGTGGCTCTCAACCTTGTTAGATTGAAGGCACCCCTCATAAAATGCCCCCTCTGAGTTTTTCACTTATTTTTTGACTATGGAAAAATAACAGAGCAATTCTGTTTTTGCAAAGAACTCGGAAAGACCACAGCAGGCAGCACGTCTGTGACTCTCTGGATTCCTGTTTGAAATCTCTGGGTTTAGCTTTTGAATTGTGTGTAGGTGTTTGCTACCTAATAGTGCTAATATTGCACAGCACTGTGCAGGAAGGAGTCTGGGAAGGATCTCTCAGCACCCCGGGGAGAATCACTGGTCTAAAGTTCGAACCCTGTTGACAAATCGTGGAGGGGGCGTTGTTCATATGGCTTACTTAAGTGAGTCTCAGGCTGGGTGCCTTCAGATCCTTTCAAGGGTGCCATGCAGTGTTAGCACTTAGGTGTGCAAATGTGATTCACAGGATAAACCCAGAGTTTTCGAATAGGAATCCAGAGTGCTAAAGGCATTGGGACCTGTAGTGGGCTTTCTGAGTTCTGAACAGGTGGTACTGCACTTTTACATGGGCTTTTACCTAGTCACGTAAAATTGTCATTGCTTACGTACATTTACTGACTGCCACATCTTTAAGAGATTGTGTGACTATTAGTTCAGTTGCCATTTCTTGTTCCTTTCTCCATGACGGTACCAACTTGTTCGTTAGGATTCTGCAGAAGTACTTCTGCTCCCAGACAAGGGTTGGTGACTTGTGCACTGATCGCGCCTGCACCCCTCTGAAAAAAGAAACCCTGTACTTCTCTCTCTCTAAGGATCAGTGTCACAGTAATATAGAAACCCATTTGTCTTGGCTGTAATCGTTAATTAAGGTGGTTAGTGTTCAGTAGTGTTCAGTTTACAGCTAATTAAACAGATAGAAAAGAAATGTGCCACAGAAAAAGCTTGGCTCATAGAATTTTCTCTTGTAATGTGTTGTATATCGTTTCATTTCAAGTGTGTTTCCTCCTGCCTCTGGATACACTAAAAATCTTGATAATTTATTTTTGCATTTTTGTGAAGGTGAATGAGCCTAAAAATCCTGTAAGATTATGATGAGATTGGTAATGTGGCATTCACATTATTGTTGGAGGAACTTTGTGCTCTAGTGAAGAGAAAAGCTCAGAGTTTTGGGGGGTGGGGCTGATTGTCTTTAATTTAGTAAGATCTCTTTTTTCACTTGCATGTCTCTGAGCAAATCTGATTTCCTTGAGGGGGGTTGGAGGCGGGGAGCGGAGCAGGGGTTAGGGAGTAAAGAAAAAATACTCCGTTCTGTGACTGCCGGCCAGACGCTGCAGCCAGCTCTCGGTATAGTCTTGCTTTAATCTCAAGTCACATGGACTTTCAGGAAAGGTGTCTTGGTGTGGTGGTTGTAGAGCATTTCTTTTATTAGAAAGGTTTTAGATGTGGATCTGGAAATGCTGAAGTCCAAACCAGTCAGCTGAAAGAAAAATTGATTTGTTTTGACTGGACATTTTATATTAATAACACGTAAGTAAAGCACTTCAGAAAATGTCTGTAATGAAGAGGGGTCTGCTGTTAGACTGTGTTTTTGTAACTAAAATTAAGTGCATGCAGCAAGTCTAGTAACAGCTGCTTTAGATCACAATCCTTTTATACTGTATTGGGATTTAGCATTGCACATAATTGTGTACATGGAGTTTTATTTTCTAAAAGAGATTACATATCGACCAAAATTTTGAACAGAAGTCCTTAAAGATTATTTTTTCTCTCTGCCTTGTAATTCTTCCCCCCCATTCTTTACTTCAGGAATGAATGTTTTCCTTTCTGATGCCGATTTCTACTGCTCAGTGCTTTTGAATGATCAAGGATATTATAATGCTATAGAATACCTGTCCAATGCTGATATAATTTCAGAGCTTCCCTGATTGCCGAGGAAAGCCTTAGTGACCTTAGATTGGGTTTAAAAAATCTTCATTCAGCACTATTGATAAACTATCTGGATTAATTAATTGGTTCCTTTTGTTAATACAAAAAGTTAAATGGAAGGTGTTTATTATTTTATTACCTTTGCAGCAAAATTTCGTGTTTATAGTAAATTATTATAGATTGAAATCACGCTTGTAATCTCTAGTGAAATAAATATTTAAGTATATTTATTTGCCTTATTTCTGAGCTTTTTAATTAAATTTTCTGAAGTTTATTAAATTGATTCATAATAAAATTGAATTTCATTTTTTTTCTCCTTTGAAAATATTTACCTATTTTTATATTTGCACTAATGCAAGAACATGTAGTAAAGTACAGCCTTTTAATAGCACCAATTCCAAATCAGTTAAAGTAACATTTTAATTAGGTTGTTTTCTTACATTAAAGTTAATTTCTTTTAAAGTTTTTTCAAGCCTCAGCATGTCATCCAGCAACAAAATTACTAAATTTTGGGGGTAGTAAATGGTCCTGTGTTTTCTTCCTCTGTTTCAGAATACAGTCGTTTTGAAGCTAAAATACATGATTTACGGGAGCAGATGATGAACAGTAGCATTAGCTCAGGATCCGGATCTCTACGAACCAGCCAGAAGAGATCCTTATATGTTAGGTAAGACAGCGTCTCCAAATGTCATCAGATTTCTACAATATTCGTTCCTCTTCCCTCCCTGCCCCGCTCCCGCACACTCCTGTCATCTTGAATTCTACATCCAAGTTTTTATGGCCTCCATTTATTCATTAATGAATTGAACAAAATGCAAACTTCCAAACTTTCCAATAGATCAGTAATATTGTGTAATTAGATTTGCAGTAAATTAAATGTACCTGAAAAAGACGTTTTCATTACTTATGCATTAAGCACCCATATTGTACTTTACCAGGCTTTGGTGATCTTCATCTTCCTGGTTGCCTTTCAAGGGAAGAAAACATCCATAATTTTACTGCTGTTTTTTTTCCTTAAGTATCTTTTCAGCAATTGCTGCAGATGCTGTAAGTTGATTTAAATATGTGGACTGTTGATTAAGAAATGTGTTTAATACTATTAGTGCTGCTTACGTTTTCATACTTTCTGTATAACATGGTAAGTCCTTAAATAATAGAAGGGAGAGTATTTTGAAAATCAAAACTTCCTTTTGATTTTATGTAAATACACATTTATTTGGAATCAGTTGCTACATAACCCATTTCATTCAGCCTGATTCAGTTGCATATTAGGATTAAGAAAAATCATAATTCTGCATCTGTGATATCACTGGATATAAATGTGCATTTTAAACCTCCTAATGGCTCATCATTTGTCATGGCATGTTAACTAAAGAGCATGAATATAAACTGTCATCCTCCCAACTGGAAATGGAGCCATTGATCTACCTTACAGTACTTCCACCTGGTCTGTATTTCCTTTCAGTAACCTCAGGGATTCAGTTGCAACAGTGCCACATTTTCAGAAAAGGCAGTTTTACATCCGAGTATCATCTCTTTAGACTACTAACTAATAAAAATCAAGAGCATTTGCTTAATTAGACTCTTTATCTCTTATTTTTAGGGAGGAATTTATCAATATTGGATTATTGAATCAAATTCCTGCTTGCCCAAATTTATCTTAGTTTTATCCAGTTTTGTCTTAGTTTATTCAGTTTTATATTAAGTTAATCAAATAGTACTTGTTTTTTGTTGCCAATTTAAATGGCAGAGGGTTGTGTAACAGGGGGGTCTTCCCGGGCCTGAATTTGCCTTCGGCCTGTCCTCCTGTTTCTGGGCCAACCACCTGCCTTCTTGTCTGCCATGCCTTGATGTTAATTAATTAATAGTTGTTAATTAAGCGGGAGGCTGCCCATTTCTTGCCCCGATGCCAGGGGGCACTATCTGCGGCTCTGTTCCACCCCCCACCCCGCAGCCCAAGCCTCGCAGGTGGTATTTATAAATTCCTCTTTATGTTGGGGTCTCAGCCACTGTGGGCTTGCCCCTTCTCTCTCTAGCTAGACCTGTCAGTCAAAAACCCACTAATCAGGGCTTGACTCCAAGGCTGTAGCTCTCAAAGACTCAGCTGGGCTCCAGCACCCTCTCTGGCACTGAGGTCTGTTCACCCCCAAGTACTGCGCCCCCTCTGGCACTAGGGTCCGCTCACCCCCGAATACTGCGCCCCCTCTGGCACTGGGGTCTGCTCACCCCCAAATACTGCACCCTCTCTGGCACTGGGGTCCCCACACTGCAGTGGGCCCCCAATGAGGCCTCCTCCCCAAATAGCCTCAGCCTGATCCTCTGGGTATTAACATCCAACGCAAAACATAGGCTTCTATGGCCATAGACTGGAAAAAGGATAATACAGAAACAAGAGAGGCAACATGCCTGCTTACTCTGGATGATCATGCTTCTGGCTCACCAAGTGGCGTGTTCTTCCAGCAGAGACTGCGGCTGCAGCTGCGGCGCTGGGGTCATCGGGAGTCCCCCTCTCTGCTGCCCCTCTTGCCTTCTCCACTCGCCATTTGTAGGATCCTGGCCTTCCTCTTCCTGTCGCCTGACCGGCTGGCAGGGCTTGAGCCTGAACCCCTACTTGACCGGCCGGCCGTGACTGGAAGGTTCTGGATTCAAAGGGACCACCCTGTCTCTTAGAAACAGGGCTGGGGTTCCCTGTTCCAGGTTGGCAAGGCGATTTTGTGCTTCTTCTGGTAAAAAAAAAAAATCATGAATGCTGTTCAGGGACTTCTGTGTTAGATAAAGGTTGTCTGAGGAAACCTTACAAGTGTTGGAATGTCTTACTAACCCCCAGCGCACCTCCAGGCGTGGTGGCACCAAACTGACCAGCACCACGAATGAAAGGGGCCTGGGGGTAAGAATAGACCACAGTATGAATATGAGCCGGCAGCGCAAGCCAGTAGGGCAAGCAATACTCTGGCGTGCATCAATCGATGCATCTCCAGCAAAGCCAAGGAGGGGATGCTTCCGCTCTGCTCAGCACTGGTGAGACCACAGCTGGAGCTGTCTTCCCTGCTTGGTGCAGGGGGCTGGACCCGATGGTCTTCCGAGGTCCCTTCCGGCCCCTGACAACCTGTGAACGTAACAATCTGTGTCTGATTTTCTGTTTTCTACTGGCTACCCATGGCTGGCACTGCTTCCTTTCTCGTCTGTCCTTCCCATTCATAACCCTGCATTTTTGCCTTTGGACAGTTAAGAAAATAGTGTCTAGAAGATTTATTCAATTTGCTTATAAAATTTAAGTTTTACCCTTAAAATATAAATCTGTAGAGTAACCTATAATGAATGAGCAGTTGCTTAGCAGAGCTGATTGAGGGACACAGTAGGGATTGGCATGAAGAAGGGAGAAGTTTTCCAAATATTTCATTCCAGAGCAGCTGCCTCCCTTAATCCAAGCAGAAAATTCACTTTAATTAAACAAAATTTTCTGTCAGCTCAGGTTCATTGGCAGCAATTATTTTGGCAATGGGTTTGAATATATTAATTCAAAATAATAGAGGGAAATACAGTTGAAAATTCTGAGTGGTGCTTGTTAGTTTTATAGTGTGGGGAGAAAATGGATGGTCTTCTTCAGCCTTGGAAGTGCCATGGCAGCCGTTCAGCAGTGCTCTGTCTGCTCTGCCGCTGTCCCAGGGGGAAGCTCTGGTGCCTCGCTGCCGCCTCGGGTCTAAGAACCGTTCTCCGTTTCTTGCACCTTCCCCAACAGAGCTGCCTTTCAAGACTAACTCGCTGTTACCAAGGGGGATGCACGGGCCTTTGTGATGACTTCCAGCACCTGGTTCTTGCTTCCTCACTCCTTCCCAGCTGTAGCTTTACATTTATAGGCCAGGAAAGACCATTATGTTCTAGCCTGATGTCCTGTGACGCAGGCCATGGGACTTCCCTTGGTGAAGTCCTGCTTGAAGATGCAGCTGTTAGAAAATCTGTCTTGATTTGAAGGTTTCCAGCTGTGAAGAATTCATCCTAGCTGTTGATAGGATGCTCAAATGATTGATTACCCATCTGTTTTGAAAATGTGCACTTTCCTTCATATCTGAATTGGCCTAGCTTTATCTCTATCAGCCATTGGATCTTTGAACCTTTTTTGCTGGATGAAAGACCTTTCTATTGTCATTTCTTCTTCCCATGTTGATTCTTCCATATTGTGGTCAAGTCCTCTGTATCCTTCCCTTTTGACCTAAACCTACTGACCTGCTTCTGTCTGGCGCGTTTTTTCCAATCCAGCAATACCAAATACAGTGGCAATATAAGCTCTCTTTCTACATGACATTCTCCCATTTATACATCGAAGCATCACATTTTAAAACTTTAGCCATGGCATCACGCTGGGAGCTCCCGTTCAGCCAGCTATCAGCCAGTATGCCTGAGTCCTTTTTAAAGTCATTGCTTCCCAGAAGACAATCACTCATTTGCAAACATGGCCCATGTTCTGTGTTCCTAGCTGGATGGCCTCAAATTTAATCACATTGTAGCATGTTGTTATTTGCTTGCATCTAGCTCCAAGTTAGTCCAGACCACTCTGTATCGGTGATATCTCCTCATTATTTACCATTCCCCACAGGTGCGGGATGGGGAAGGATAATAAGTGCACTCTGATTCTGTATCTCTTCTTTATCATGCACTTAGGTTTGTCTCAGATACTGGAAACCTCTGGAGAGCTAACCTCTCAAAATATGGTAAACCGTAATATTGACAAACAGTTGTTGGAAGGAGAATACAAATGTATTAGGTCAAGAATAAATTATAATTTCAGCATCCAGTCCGCCAGCTTTCTACATGAATGACTAAAATTAACTCATTCGTTTAATGGCATGAATGCATTGTTACGTGGAACCTTTTTGGTCTGTGGAGTTTGAGAAAAGAGATATTTGCCCTCTCTGAAAACGGTGGTTTCATTAGCTTCCTGCCTGCATCCGAGCACCACGCCGGCACTCTGTCACTGAGCTCAGGAAGTGTCTAGTGTATGGAGTGAATCATTTGGGATTTAGTGGCAGCATTAATTTTCTTGGAAAGTTACTAAAGATGTAAGTTTTCACAGAATATAGCTGCAGCAAACACCTATTCCATATTTTATCATGTCCTTCATTCTGACTTGCAAAATGAGACCTGAATGACATACAAGGTATTTAAATTCAGGGGCTTGGTTCCCTCCTCCAGGCGTTTGGACTGGTGTTTTGGTTATACACCCCAGCAATGGGGTTTTTTTCTTTGTTAGAAAGATGAATGCGTGATGTTTCTGACACAACAGGCAGTAGAGCCCGCTTCATTTTTGTTCCGTTTCCTGGTGTTTTATTTATGCAATGCCAGATTACAATCTTGAGTTTTTCTGGCTGTTGCCAACAACCTTATGTTAGCATGGCAATCAGCCTAGCACAGCAGAGCTATCTGAGGGTTGATTTCCGCTGTCAGGAATGTCGGTAGACACAGGAGCAGATTGGAGCTGCAGGCTCTAACTTAAACTTGTCATAGCAGACAGTGAAGTGGGTCCAGTGCAGAGGTTACAGGTTTCCCAACACATAACGCGTACCTTAGGGTAGACTCCCCTGCTTTTTAATTGACCGTGTGCTTGAGCAGTAATTATTTGTTTCAGTACTTTCCACTGGTTTAGTTCCAGTTCCTATTCACATACACGTC